AATGGCGTATCTTTGGCTATGTGTATTTTCACAAAAAAAAAAAAGAAAGTTGAGAATTTAGAGAGTTAAAATGTTGTGGGGTCGTTAACCAATGTCATAAAACAGCACGTGTGTTACTGTTACATGAGAAACTATCTGTTCTGTAAGCCTTCACCTGAAGTACAATAAAATATTAAAAAAAAAAAAAGATTTGCACTGCTGATGGCTTCAAGAATTTGAAGAATTTTAAGTTATCTTCATGAAAAAGCAAAACAGACAGAGACAAGACTCAGCTCAGTAAAGCTCTCTCCTACCTGCCCATCCCCCTTGGTGAGCCCTTTCTCCTCCAAGGATAAAAACAAAAAACCCTCCACAACCCACCTCTCTGACCTCCTCTCCCATCATCAGCCAACCTGTTCTGCAGGCTCCTTGCAGGCGTGCACCAGGTTTCGTTTCTCTGAGGTTCCTGGCATACAGTAGGTACTCAGTGTTTTATAAAAGAGAGAATGAAAAAGTAGAGAAAGGAAGGGAAGGGAAAGAGTGGCCACAAGAGAACAGGAAGGAAGTAGAGAGAGAAGAAGGGAAGGAATAATGGGGCCACCAGAGAACAAGAAGGAAATAAAGGGAGGGAAGGAAGGAGGGGGCCACCAGAGAACAGAAAGGAAGTAGAGAGAGAGAGGGAAGGAAGAAAGGGGCCACCAGAGAACAAGAAGCAAATAGAGAGAGGAAGGGAAGGAAGAAGGGGGCCACGAGAGAACAGAAGGAAATAGATGAAGGGAAGGAAGGAGGGGGTCACCAGAGAACAGAAAGGAAGTAGAGAGAGGGAGGGAAGGAAGAAGGGGACCATCAAAGAACAGGAAGGAAATAAGGAGAGGAAAGGAAGGGAAGGAGTGGCCAACAGAAAACAGGAAAGAAGTAGAGCAAGGGAGGGAAGGAAGAAGGGGGCCTCCAGAGAACAGGAAGGAAGTAGAGAGAGAAAGTGAAGGACCCACCAGCCATAAAGTCCTTGGTAAAATCAAAGTGCTCCCTTTCACAGTGGACCTACAGAAAACCAGTCTGAGCAGAGGCCTCAGGCTAGACTAGATCCATTTCATCAGCTCTCTCCCACCAGACCATTAGAAAACAGCCCATAGTGCTAGCATACGGCCAGCTCAGTGGCAAGACTTCACAGCCTGGATGGATCTTACTTTATAAAGTGGAGTGAGCTTTGCCTCAGGCTGTGTTGGGGAAAGAAAAGAGCTCTCCCTGGATAGGGCAGTGTGGCCCCAAGCACTGCACATTGGGATTTTCCTGTGGGGGTAACCCTGGAAAGTGGGCAACTACCTCAGCACCTCAGCAACCAGATAAAGGATCGGCAAGTAGCTCTCAGAGCTGCCAATGAGTCAGGCCTTATAACTGCTCTTACGAGATGCTATGGATCGATTTGTGTCCTGCCAGAATATGGGCTGAAATCCTAACCCCTATACCTGCAGATGTCATCTAATCCAAAGTAATATAATCACTTTCCATAATGTAATTTAATGTAATGTAATTACATTCCATAATGCAATCTAATATAACTAATCAGTTGCGGTCATACCATGGTAGGGTGGGGTGGATCCTGAACCTAATCACTTCTGAGTTATAAAGAGCAGCATGGACACAGAAGCACGAGCACATATACTGGGGAAGACAGATGACATGTGAGGATCACCTGCAAGCCAAGGAAGGAAGCAATACCTGGGGCTACCAACAAGGAAGGCATCCACACGGCTGAGACCCTGATGGGAAATTTTAGCTTCCAGAACTGTGAGAAAATAAATTTCTGTTCTTTAAAGCCACCCTCTTGTGGTATTTCCGTTATAGCAGCACCAGTAAACTAAGACACCAGAGAGGAACTTACCTCTAGAGTAATCATCTCCCGTGGGAGAGGGGTCGGGGGGTACTTCTCAGGCACTTGAATCGTAATCTCGTTTTTCATCTCATCTTCCAGAAAACCTGAGGGAGGAAACCCCACCAGACAGCCCAAGATGACTGGGATGTCTCATGCCTAAGAAATGGGGCCAAACCAGACAGGACAGCCAGAGCAGCTGCTGAGCTGCTTGGGACATGTCACAACTCCTGGATCTTATCGCCAAACCCCACCCCCACCTCCATGATCCTCTCAAAAAGCATTACAAACAGGGACACTTTGTTATTCAAGTCCCGTGCGCCCTTCACCATCCCGCTGATGCACGTTTCGACGGTAGGCAGGAAAACGGCTTACAGAGGATCCTCTCCAGCGACTCACACCTTCTGACTTCATTCACAAATTTCCTTTGGAAGCTGTTCACATTCATGTTGAGCTAGGGAAAAGGAAAACCCCACAAGTCACACTTAGTGTCAACAGCTGCCAACACATTCCCTTTGGTTATTTTTGTTTTTTGTTTTTTTTTAATGCTGGAGAATGTTGCTGGAATTGTCTTAGGAAAAGGTAGTCACACACTCGTGGCAGGTGGGTTAGAGGCCACCTTGGAATTCTAACCCTCAGTTTCCCAAATGCCTGCACTCTGGCTCTCCCATTGCTAGACAAAGTCATCCGCCCTTGAAGGCTTCCTTACTTTCAGCACATTTGCTATCCAAATGAGCCTGTGAAATCCCCAGTGGAGTCTTGAATATGGCAGGACTTTAAAGACGGCCCAGTCATCAACAACAATGCAACGTCTCTGTGTGGGTGACCCTCAGGCCAGCACACCCTGCTGAGGACCTGCATGGGTCAGGTCCTGTACTAGGAACTAGGATGCAAAGATGAACAAGACACCCTACTTCCCCGCAGGAGCTTACTTTGACCTTGACTTTAAAGAGAAAAGGAAAGAGGAAGGACGAGTTTCCTAAATTCTACTCAGAGTTTGGAGAGGATTGCTGGCAAGATCATCGAAAGTGCCACTGGGAGAAGATACCCTGGCATCACCCTCTAGACAACCTGTCCCTAGAATGTCACTCTAAACTCCAGGAGACTTTGTTCTCAGCCTGACAGTCAGGGGAAGTGGGTTTCTGTCCTCAGAACAAGGTTTGGGAACCCACATGCCCAGGGGATATGTCCGATGCTTTCAAGACGCTACACGGAAAATAAAGTGGGATGGAGTCTAACATGCAGGGATTCCATCAGGGCTTGGAAATCCTCCTGTAGGAGACAGGTATGGAGAGGGGGAGAACATATTCTCAAACAACTTGCCCAAAGCCATCACAAATTCTAGCCAGAAGGACTGTTGTTGTCGTTCTTGTTAGTTGCTTTGAGTCGGCTCTGACTCGTGGTGCACCTATATACAACAAAATGAAATGTTGCCCAGTCCTGCACCATCTCCACTACCATTGGTATGTCTGAGTCCATTGTTGCGGCTCTGGTGTCGTGCCTTCCCATCGAGGGGGCTCATCTTCCAATACTCTATCAGACAGTGTTCTGTTGTGATCCATAAGGTTTTCAGTGGCTAATCTTCGTAAGTAGATGGCCAGGCCTTTCCTCCTAGTCTGTCTTAGTCTGGAAGCTCCACTGAAACCTGTCCACCATGAGTGACCCTGCTGGTATTGGAAATATCTGTGGCAGAGCTTCCAGCCTCATAGCAACACCCAAGCCACCAGAGTACAACAGACTGACAGGAGGGTGGTGGAGCCAGAAGGACTAGAACCACAGAATTCCACCTCTTCCTGCTCAGGACTCCTCACCTGCAGCCTGCCCATTGTTCACCACAAAGAAGTGTTATTGCAAAAGAGTTGTCTACCCCTTTCCCAAACGGCAGCTGGTCTTCAGAGAACTCAGCACTTACATCTTTGAACTGAACCAAGCCCAGCTCGCCAAGCTCAGCCACGCAGCAGTACGCAGCCTCCACCTGGAGAAACAGCTGTGACAAGCACATCTCCTCACTGCGAAACACAGACGCCATCTTGGCCCAGCCTGAGTCTGTGAGAGAAAAAGAGAGAGGTTTAAGGTAATAAACGTGTGGAAACTTTGGGATTAAAATTTATTTTAGTTGACTTAAATTAAAATCCAACAGGAATCACTCCTGATTTACAAAACATAAAAAAAATAATAATAATCAGATAGCGTTATTCACCATGTATCAGGTTGGCAAAAGATTAAAAGATATGATTAAAGACTCATGTTCCGAAGGGTGTGAGGAAACAGGAACTCTCACACACGGGTAGGTGAAGTGTAAATTTGCACAGTTTTTTTAGGCGAGCAATTTGTCAATATCTTTCAAATTTTATATTTATGTTCTTGACCCAAGGCTCCCACCAGCAGTGTATCCAGATAAACCTGATACGCAAGGAAAAATACATGCGCACACACGTTTCTCATAATACGGGGTATAGTAATAATAACAAGTGAATATGACAGTTCTCCATCAATAAAATCAAACCAGTTGCCACCAAGTCGACTCCCACTCATGGTGTGTATCATAGGAGACCCATGCTCCACAGGGTTTTCAGTGGCTGATTTTTCAGAAGTAGATCGCCAGGCCTTTTCTCTGAGGCGCGTCTGGTTGTACTTGAACCTCCAACCTCTCGCTTAGCAGCCGAGCATGTACACCATTTGCACCACCCAGGCATTTCATCAATAGAGGAATAACTAAATCAACTGTGATTCAACAGAACCCTGGGCAGCCAGAAGAAATGAAGCAAATCTGCGTGTCCTATGTATAGAAGAAGGATATTCATCTAGAAAGAACAAAACCAACACTGTGAGTCAGATCTCCCAACCCTGTACCTGCCAGACACATTTCTACTGTCGTCCTTAAGTATCGACACCACCGAGACTCATAAAATAACCAAGACACACATTCTGAGAGGTGATCACTGAAGCAAAGACTCAAACATCGCAAGACGGCCAACGGCTTCCAACAGATGTATGTCCAGAGCTTAACCGTGAGACGGGGCGAGAGCCACGAACGTCACGGATGGCGAAGCAACGGCCCATCTACAGCCCGGAGTCGGCGTTAACTCTGTGGCAACTAACAACAGCAGAACAGCATCTACGGGCAGGGAGCCGAGCCGAGGTCGGAGTCCTCTCAGCAACGCAGATCAAATGCCTTCCAGAATTCCATCTATCACCCAGTCGTCCCCAAAACTGGACTGCCTTCATGTCTGTTAGAACAGAAGGCAAGAAAGGAAACCTGCCAGTGGCTGGAAGAAAGCGAAGACTATTCTCACTGACTAAATTGAAGAACTCGTAAAACCCAGGGGAGGTTGTCGGCACAGACTCCACTCCCATCAAAGACATTCTTAGACTTCGAGGCTACTGCCAAACCAAATGGGTTTTCCCAAAGTCCAACCTTCTGGAAGAACTACACCTCCAGAGTGGGCCTGCTCCCTCATTTCATTGTGTAACATATGGAGCGGCCCCTCACTCCCCAATTCAAATTCTTCGCTTGTCCCCATTTCCCTCCGGAGTCTCAAACCCTTGGCCTGGCCAACAAGGAGCACACCGTCCGCTTCTCCCCCCGCCCCCATCTCCATCTCTCTGGCCACACAGGCTTTCTGACCCCAGGGCCTTTCCCCATACTTTCCCCCTCTCGCCTCCATTTGGAACCTCATCCTCTTCCTCTGCACCTTCCCACACCCCACATAATCCTATCATCCTTCCAGTGTCAGGGTAAGGATCCTCTTCCTCCCATAAACCTTTCCTGAGCACCCCACCTCCACCTGCCACCCCTCCACCCTCCCACCCTGTGAATTAAGCCCCCTCCTATCAGCTCCACGTCCCTGGGTGACGCAAATGGTGAGCACTTGGCTACTAACTTAAAGGTTGGAGGTTCAAACCCATCCAGCAGCACCATGGAAGACAGGCCTGGCAATCTGTAAAGATTATAGCCTGGAAAACCCTATGGAGCTCAGTTCTACTCTGACACACGTGGGGTTGCCATGAGTCAGAATCAACTCGACTGCAACTGGCTTTTTTTTTGGTCTTTCTGCCCCAGAACATCTATCAATCATTTGTCATGACTTGTCATATTCCCCGCTAAATAGTAAATCCACCGGGTGGGAACTCTGTGTTTTCTCTCTATCACTGGTCTAGCTCAATATTGAGCACCAAGAAGGTTTACTTGTCTAGATAATAAACAAAATCCTTCCGTCAGAAAGTGCAGCGCCTGGTCCTGTATCTTTTGCCCGTTGACACCGAGCCGAATCAAAACTTCATATTCCTTGCTGATAAACCCGTTGCCATCGAGTCGATTCTGACTCATAGCAAGCCTGTAGGACAGGGTCAAATGTGGCATTTACTCCCTTTACTGAGAACATCGGTGGTTCAGTGGTAGAACTTTCGCCTTCCATGCAGGAGACTCAGGTTCAATTCCTGACCAGCACACCTCATGGGCAGCAACCTCCCATCTGTCAGTGGAGGCTGGAAACCCTACGGTTTCCAAGGAGCGCCTGGTGGATTTGAACTGCTGACCTTTCGGTGAGCACCTGTAGCTCTTAACCACTACACCACCAGGGTTCATAAGGCAATATTTTTGGATGTTATCTCAAACCTCACACAGAACCGATGCATAACAGAAATATCATTCTTACCCTGGCTGGTCCAGGTGGGTTCTGGGCCCGGGTCTGCAGCTGGCAGAGGGGCCTCGGCTTCAGTGGCTTTGTCCCCCTAATCCACGGGGCTGAAGACTCAAGTCCCAGTGGACTGTCTCCAAGTGGCTGGCTAGTGGCCCAGAGCCAAGATGGGGCTAGCCTGGCCGTGGGTTCCACAGCAGGCTCCCTCTCTCTGCCCAGAACCTCTGTTGTATCAACACTGGCCTGTTGTGGGTGAGGACAAGCCTGCCCCGCCCCAAGCCCCACCCACCCGTGTCCACCGGCAGACACAAAGTAACTCACTGCCCCAGGAACTGAGGGTCTGGGAGTGTCTCGAAGCCTCAGGGGCCTACAGACATTCCAATGTACCTACCGAGAAAACCAGAACAAAACAAAAACTTCTTTTCATTGTCTGAGCGAAATAACGTTAAAAAATAGTTTGGGGAAAAAAAATCCCACTCATTATCTCATTAACAACTCCTTCCACAAACACTCTGTTTTCAAAAAGAAGCCTGGAAGGAAAAATCCTTGTCAACTTCCAACGGCTAAAGTCAGCTTTGGAGTGGCCCACGTAACAAGACCAAAAATAAAATAATAACCCTTTGCCATCCAGTCATAGTGACCCTATGAGACAGGGTCAAACGCGGCATTTACTCCCTTCCCTGAGGTCATCAGGTGGTACAACTCTTGCCTTCCATGCGGGAGACCCAAGTTCAATTCCCAAACAGCACACTTCTTGGACAGCCCCCTCCCATCTGTCAGCGGGGGCTGTGTGTTGCTATGATGCTGAATAGGTTTCAGTGGCACTTCTAGACTAAGATGGACTAGGAAGAAAGGCCTGGTGATCTACTTCTGAAAATCAGCCAATGAAAACCCTATGAATCACAATGGTTCCCTCCTTTGTGCATGGGGTGGCCATGAGTAAGAGGCCAGCCTGACAGCAATTAACAACAACTCTTTGCTCATGGAGGATAATGACTGTCCCCTTTATCTGGAGGAAGGGGGACGGGCAGAAGAGAGAGTCATCAAACACGTGTGCGTTAGACCGGAGTCACTCTGCAGCCGCTGCCCGGGTCTACATTAATGAGGTTAGTCTAGGAGTTTCTCCACGTAAGTCGTGCAGATCACCCACCCACCCACCATGGGTGCTGTAGGGTGAACCCCAGAATGGGGGGTTGATTTTTTTCTTTTTACTTCTTATTATGTCAAAATTAAAATATATGCAAAAATGCAGAGAAGAGCAGAAGGAATCCGTATGTACCTACCAGTCCACTGCCACAACTTTTGGATTTTATATTATCTATATCCACACCCAGGTCCCCTACCCACTCAGGGATTATTTTGAAGCAAACATCATCCATCATATTATTTCTTTCACAATATCTCAGTACGTTTCTCTGAAAGAGATTCTTTTAACAAATGTATTGCTCCTAGGGTCACATCTAAAAAAAGATCAGCAACAATTCCTTAATGTCAAATATCCAGGGAAGAGTACAACTGCTCCCTAGGGTCTCCAAGGAGTGGCTAGTGGATTTGAACTGCTGACCTTTTGGTTAACAGCCAGAGCTTTTAACCACTGTACCACCAGGGCCCCAATATCCAGCTAGTGTTTTGATTTTCCAGGTTGTCTGAGATTTGCATTTTAATGAGCCCCCAGGTGATCGCTGTACATGATCCAGTTAGAACTACTGCTTTTGAGACTGTTGTTACCTGCCGTCCACTGGTGGCAACCCCACGCACAACGGGACAAAATGCTGCCCGGTCCTGTGACATCCCCATAATCAGTTGTGGATGGGACCATTGTGATCCATAAGGTTTTTATTGGCTGATTTTCGGAAGGAGATCACCAGGCCTTCCTTCCTAGTCTCTCTTAGTCTGGACGCTCCACTGAAGCCTGCTGAGCATCATAACAACGCCCCAGCCTCCACTGACAGGCGGGTGGTGGCTGCACATGAGGTGCGTTGGCCGGGAATTCGAACCCGAGTCTCCTGCGTGGAAGGCGAGAATTCTACCACAGAACCACCACTGCCCCCAGCTGTTGAGACACAGGGTGAAAAATCGCGCTTCAGCGTGTGAGACAGCAGGGAGTGTCAGGGTGTGGGCCAGGCGTTGAAGTCCTGCTGAGAAGGTGCAGCAACTGTGAGCCTGGGAGAGTGGGCTGCAGTTGGGCCTGGGAGAGTGGGCTGCAGCTGGGCCTGGGACAGTGGGCTGCAGTGGGGCCTGGGACAGTGGGCTGCAGCTGGGCCTGGGAGAGTGGGCTGCAGCGGGGCCTGGGACAGTGGGCTGCAGCTGGGCCTGGGAGAGTGGGCTGCAGCGGGGCCTGGGAGAGTGGGCTGTAGAGGGGCCTGGGACAGTGGCTGCAGCGGGGCCT